TCGGTAGGAAATGTAGTTTTCATGAAATATTTAGGATTTTTTTTATAACATTAGTCAAGTTACTCAACCCCAAACCAATCTTAAATTTACATGATCGTATTTGTAGAATTCTTACTATGTGTTTGTAAAACTGTGCAGATTTATATGTGGATTGTGCATTGGAGGATTTTGAAATATTTGTCACAGCAAGACAGCAAAGAAATCCTCTAAAATAATTGGGAATCCACTAAAAACATTTGTCAATCTCATCATATAGTTGCTTTCTTTCTCAGAAACTCTGAATATTAATTTGTGAATCTAGTTTTATTTATTTGAGAGTACATTTTATATTAGATTTATTTGTAAATATGGAACAAATATCAACATTTTCGGTTATACTTTATTTCGATTGTCCACTTTAGACATCCTACTAACTACAAGTAACTTTGCAACTACATGTCAACTAGCAGTCATTATAGTATTAGTAGACGGAGCTTAATATCTGCTAACACTTTATTTGGATGCTAGGGATGATGCTAGGGTTCGGGATAGTAGAATAAGTTGACATGTAGTTGAAAAGTTAGAGTAATTTGAATGTCTGTCGGAAGCATCAAAATAAAGTATTAGCAGATATTAAGCTCAGTCTACTAATACTATAACGACTGCTAGTTGACATGTAGTTGCAAAGTTACTTGTAGTTAGTAGGATGTCTAAAGTGGACTATCGAAATAAAGCGTTAGCGAATTAAAACGGGCATCAATGCTCCCCATTAGAGAAATGGACGAGAAGATACACATATCACACAGAGACACACTCGAGCGGGCAAAATCCAGCCTGCCACCGCAAGACAAACATTAACAGTGTGAAACACCTGCTTATCCCGCTCTGGCACTGCCCAGACACCTGGCACATATCCCAGCATGCACCTCTTCCCTTCAGTTCTTTATCCGGCACGCCTGGCATATTCAGATACTGAAGCCCTCATTACAGCTCAATCCAACCTCAGCAAACACACAAACAGATTAGCCGCTTAAGACGTTCCCAATCCTCCAGTCCCCCGTGCTATCAGGACCCCGCACACCCCTCAGATATGAGCTTAGCGCTCGCTCCTCCAGAAATACCCCCACGCCACAGCCCCATGGCACAGCTAACCCTAATACAATTAAAAGTCATTTGCGGAGCGGCGGATCAGGAAAAAAGGAGGGAGGGAAGGAAGGAGACCAGAGCTGGGAATCAAAAGGAATTTAAAGAGAGGAAAAAAATCGACAATATTTCAAAAGGAATTCGATGGTTGTCCTGAAAAAAGGTAAAGTTTTTTTTAAAAATGGAACATTGTAAATATTACTTTTTTATGCACTTTTATGATGGATAGATGCGCTTTTATGATGGATGGATGCACTTTTATGATGGATAGATGCACTTTTATGATGGATAGATGCGCTTTTATGATGGATGGATGCACTTTTATGATGGATAGATGCGCTTTTATGATGGATGGATGCACTTTTATGATGGATAGATGCACTTTTATGGTGGATAGATGCACTTTTATGGTGGATAGATGCACTTTTATGATGGATGAATGCACTTTTATGACGGATAGATGCACTTTTATGACGGATAGATGCACTTTTATGATGGATAGATGCACTTTTATGATGGATGGACAGGGCCGGCTCTAACCCTTTGGTTGCCCTAGGCGATATAGAGTTTTTATAAAAAATTATAAGTATTTATTAAACTAAACATGCTCTTATAGTTACTCAAAAACTTAAACAAAATTGTCCATACAAATGCTACAAAGAACGTTCAAGGATATTTATATCATAGTTGCATTGTACAACTATATTTTATCTGACCATAAATAACATTTAGTAGATAAATTACAACTACTACCACGGTACACCACTACAATCTATTGGGCTGCTCGAGGTTAAGGGGGTTTCGGGGGTATTTCCCGTAAGAAAATTTTGTGCATTTTAATGTTAAATTCATCAATCTGGTGCACTTTGAGAGCTCAAAACTAAAAGCTCCAACCCATATTCAGTGTGCAAATTGAACAAAGAAAAATTCAAACCTCTTTTAATTACAGCGTCTGTCTACATTACACTACTACATAATAATAGATATAATATTAATCCCATGACAGTAATTGCCATAGGCTATATTGTAAAACAAATGCACTGAAAAATAAAGGAAACTTTCATGAGTATTGTACACATTTCTATACTTGAAAGTAAGTTATATATTTGGAAGTAACCCAGCGCCGCCAATTAAGCAAAACAAAACAAAACAAAACGAATGGGCCACCGATGTACGAGTTTTATGGGCCGTTAAGACAAAAATAGAAAAATAAAAGTATGAGATGTATGTATCGGCCCAAAAAGCACGTCGGGCCCGCGGGAATCTCCCGGTTGTCCCGATGGCCAGAACATTTGACACCTTAATGGATGAGATGAGAAGACTTACCTCTATACTGGGCTTTCTTTTTATCTTGTTGCTTTCTCCGTTTTCGTCCCTGTGCACCAGAGGGTTTAGACCGCTTCATTTTCGATCAGCGCGCGCAGCAGCCGAGCACTTGCCTAACGTAACCATAGAACGTAACGCAACTAACCCCCGCCCCCCCTTTAGGAAATGATCGATAATAATCATCCATTCAATCTAATAATCAGGTTGACAAGTAATTAAACGTATGGCTGAGGGGCGCCTTAGGATGATCATGTTTAATAAACATGTTTTTGTTTCGCTTGTCATTCTAATTCTATGATTAATGGGAAGTAGGCCAAGGGCGACACTAGAGGGCGCCCGCGCCCCCAACACATTTGTCGCCCTAGGCAACCGCCTAGTTCGCCTATAGCAATCGCCGGCCCTGTGGATGGATGCACTTTTATGATGAATAGATGCACTTTTATGATGGATAGATGCACTTTTATCATGGATAGATGCACTTTTATGATGGATAGATGCACTTTTATGATGAATAGATGCACTTTTATGATGAATAGATGCACTTTTATGATGAATAGATGCACTTTTATCATGGATAGATGCACTTTTATGATGATAGATGCACTTTTATGATGGATAGATGCACTTTTATGATGGATAGATGCACTTTTATGATGGATGGATGCACTTTTATGATGAATAGATGCACTTTTATGATGGATAGATGCACTTGTAGATGCACTTGTATGATGGATGGATGCACTTTTATGATGGATAGATGCACTTTTATGATGGATAGATGCACTTTTATGATGGACAGATGCACTTGTATGATGGATAGATGCACTTGTAGATGCACTTGTATGATGGATGGATGCACTTTTATGATGGATAGATGCACTTATGATGGATAGATGCACTTTTATGATGGATAGATGCGCTTTTATGATGGATGGATGCACTTTTATGATGGATAGATGCACTTTTATGATGGATAGATGCACTTTTATGACGGATAGATGCACTTTTATGACGGATGGAGGCACTTTTATGATGGATAGATGCACTTTTATGACGGATGGATGCACTTTTATGATGGATAGATGCACTTTTATGATGGATGGATGCACTTTTATGATGGATAGATGCACTTTTATGATGGATAGATGCACTTTTATGATGGATAGATGCACTTTTATGATGGATGGATGCGCTTTTATGATGGATGGATGCACTTTTATGATGGATAGATGCACTTTTATGATGGATAGATGCACTTTTATGATGGATGGATGCACTTTTATGATGGATGGATGCACTTATGATGGATGGATGCGCTTTTATGATGGATAGATGCACTTTTATGATGGATAGATGCACTTTTATGATGGATAGATGCACTTTTATGATGGATGGATGCACTTTTATGATGGATGGATGCACTTATGATGGATGGATGCACTTTTATGATGGATGGATGCACTTATGATGGATGGATGCACTTTTATGATGGATAGATGCACTTTTATGATGGATAGATGCATTTTTATGATGGATAGATGCACTTTTATGATGAGCTTTTATGATGGATGGATGCACTTTAATGATGGATAGATGCACTTTTATGATGAGCTTTTATGATGGATGGATGCACTTTAATGATGGATAGATACACTTTTATGATGGATAAATGCACTTATGATGGATAGATGCACTTTTATGATGGATAAATGCACTTATGATGGACAGATGCACTTTTATGATGGATAGATGCACTTTTATGATGGATAGATGCACTTTTATGATGATAGATGCACTTTTATGATGGATAGATGCGCTTTTATGATGGATAGATGCGCTTTTATGATGGATGTATGCACTTTTATGACGGATGGATGCACTTTTATGATGGACAGATGCGCTTTTATGATGGACAGATGCACTTGTATGATGGATAGATGCACTTGTAGATGCACTTGTATGATGGATGGATGCACTTGTATGATGGATAGATGCACTTTTATGATGGATAGATGCACTTTTATGATGGATAGATGCACTTTTATGATGGATGGATGCACTTTTATGATGGATGGATGCACTTTTATGATGGATGTATGCACTTTTATGATGGATAGATGCGCTTTTATGATGGACAGATGCACTTTTATGATGAATAGATGCACTTTTATGATAGATAGATGCGCTTTTATGATGGATAGATTAGCTTTTATGATGGATAGATGCACTTTTATGATAGATAGATGCGCTTTTATGATGGATAGATTAGCTTTTATGATGGATAGATGCACTTTTATGATAGATAGATGCGCTTTTATGATGGATAGATTAGCTTTTATGATGGATAGATGCACTTTTATGATGGATGGGGTAATTTTATTTTAAAGTGAACTAATCCTTTTATGTTTAAAGGCCCTTGCAAACTAAAGCAAGGTCTGATTGAGCGTTTGAACAGATAGGAATGTGTTTTGAGGGTGTTGAAAGATATAATACAGCGATTTGGAAAGCTCATTTGGGACTTTTTAGTGTTAATAGTTTGGGATCATTCTCACTGTGCCAGCAGGGATTCGTCCAGGCCACCAGGCAATGGCTGGTTCCCTCATCCCACCTTCAAACGTAGTCTCTTTCCCACAGAGAAACGGGCCGTTGCTGCCACCTGAGGATGAAAACAGACAAGACAGAATCACAAACTCAAAGCCTCGACTGTGGAGGGCACTTCATCTCTGACAAATCATCTTTCCTACAAAACAGACCCATGACACAAAAAAATAGAATAGGTGTATTGGGAGCGTACATGAAAGATGAGTTGAGAGAGTAGAACGCAGGGGTCTTGAGATGCGTTTGAAAGCTTGACATAACTTGTCTTAAATATGTGACGCTTATAGAACAAGACACTGAAAAACAGCTAGATACAATGCAATGATAAAAATGTCCACGAGCACATGTGTACATAGTGACATTGATGTGTACATAATGACATTGTTAATTTACTTGCATTTTATCAATAGAATGAAAGTAGCTCAGGGAAACTTTTTTCCCTTAACACAAAATAATAATAATAAATTACACATACATGTCATATATAGATTAATTTATTAAATATAAATTAATAAACCGGTGTAAAATGGATCAAATTAATTACCTAAAAAAAATATAAAGTTATTTTATTATGCTATTTTAAAGGTTTCTTATTTGGTTTTGGAGTCTCCTTCAATACATTTACATGCATCCAAGGTCAAAAAACACTACTTTTCTCATAATATACATTGCAGCATCACCTCATTTCTCTTAAAATGGTACGATCGAGGATTACGAGAACAGTAACGATGGTGTGGGGTTTACCGTATCAATCTCATCAAAGTGGATTTGCTTTGTCAGCAGAAAACAGCGTCTTCTCGACACGAACAACACGAGCCGAACTCTCCAGTCTCAGATTCACTACAGTGTTTGAGGGCGGAGCCAAGAGACGCTGCTCAGCCAATCAAGAACAGAGGCTGGAATTATGCAAATTAGTTACATTGGTTTTTAACAGGAAGTGAGACTGGAATTAATGACGACTCGTTTCAGCAGTTCAGAATCGATTCTTTCTTTTAGGAAACCATACATTTGAGCTTTACACCTTTACAAAAAGCTTTATCACACACTGCATGAACGGTAATATCCGAAAAAGCACAATAGGTGCACTTTAAATTAAAAATTCAGCTTTCTCATGCATCACCACTGATGTGAAGCTCTTTATTCAAATCAATTCTTTTAATTCCCTAACTAAATAAAAAGCTGGCAAAAACTGTGATAGGTGTGTTAATGTTAGTGTGAATGGTTTCGCACTTTGTCTCGGTCCAGACATCACCGCTGCCCCGTTATCAGAAGTGAAGAACACAAATGTGTTGTTGTGGATTCCCAGACTGACCAGTCGTCCCAGAATCTGGCCAATGCTGTAATCCAACTCCATCACGGCATCACCATAACTATAAGACAAATCACACACCTCAATCATTACATTATTTCACAGTTTAAATTAATACCTTTTTCGCTAACTGTGATTTTGTATATGTGCATTTCTGAAATACATTAAATATTAGACAGTCACCTCTGATAACTAAATTGTAATGTGGACTCATGCATTTTCTGTAAAGCTGCTTTGAAATTATGTGTATTGTGAAAAGCGCTATACAAATAAATGTAAATCAAACCATTAAAAATTACCCCAAATAACCTTCAGTGGCTCTAACCCGGACAGCATAACAAATTCTGTCAAATTAGCCCATGTTTGAAACGGATGGATGTGATATATGGAGGAAGATAGATGTCTGGGATATAGATGTGCGCTGGTTATAAAACTTTAAGATGTGGCGTGTCAGGCTGAATCCCTCCTCTGCCAGCACCTGGCTAATACCCCTCAGCCTTGATCCATTCCTCTGTCAACACAAACCTCATTTAGCATTCTGAAGGAACGTATGCTTACTGAAGCCTCAGTATTCAAAAGCACTGGACTGAATACTAAACAGCTGCAGACAAGACTACCAATGAAGCCTCCGGCACTCATTCTTGCCTCCGAGCAGGAAAAATAACATCTCATTAGCCAATAATTTCTATATTACAAAACAGGAATGCACAGAAGCAGAATTTTCGGCCAAAACGATATTGACTTATGTAATCAGATTACTTTTTAAGTCACAAGTAATGCATTACTTTTAATCTTTATATTTAAAAAGCCGATAAGCGATATATTGGCTGATAAACCTATAGCGGATACTGATAACCGATAATTTATTATAAATTAAAAAGCTGATAAGCGATATATTGGCTGATAAACCTATAGCAGATACTGATAACCGATAATTCTTTATATTTAAAAAGCCGATAACGATATATTGGGTGATAAACCTATAGCAGATACTGATAACCGATAATTCTTTATATTTAAAAAGCCGATAACCGATATATTGGCTGATAAACCTATAGCAGATACTGATAACCGATAATTTATTATATTTAAAAAGCCGATAAGCGATATATTGGCTGATAAACCTATAGCAGATAATGATAACCGATAATTTATTATATTTAAAAAGCCGATAACCGATATATTGCCTGATAAACCTATAGCAGATACTGATAACCGATAATTTATTATATTTAAAAAGCTGATAAGCGATATATTGGCTGATAAACCTATAGCAGATACTGATAACCGATAATTCTTTATATTTAAAAAGCCGATAACTGATATATTGTGTGATAAACCTATAGCAGATACTGATAACCGATAATTTATATTTAAAAAGCCGATAACCAATATATTGGCTGATAAACCTATAGCAGATACTGATAACTGATAATTATTTATATTTAAAAAGCCGATAACCGATATATTGGCTGATAAACCTATAGCATCTAGATTTTTTTACAAGTAAAATCAGACAATACAATTATTAATGCACATTACAAAACATAAAAAAAACTTTTGCCCAGTAGTGTAAAGTAATAGCACACCTTTTCTATCCAAGCCATATTATTTGAAGTATCATTCATGTGTGTATCACAAACATGCAAAATGAGTTATACCATGCAGTTTTAATACTTTTTTTATTCTGCAATTAGCACTTACCGCTAGGGCTGCACGATATTTAAGAAAAATGCGATAACTCATTAAATAATGCGATATTCGATATGCGATATGATAATGCTTAAAGTGTGTAAAATAAACTTAATCTTTAAAATATATTTAAAATGATATAACCTACATACATGTTTCACATTCTTTTTGTGACAAGAAAACATCCCTACAGCTTCTGAAAGTGAACATCAGTGTTTTACTGAAGCGTAAGAAGTGTTATTAACATCAGTGTAAAGCACGGGGTTCAGGTTATCCTACATTAGGGTTATTTAACAACAGAAACTGGATAATCAAATGTAAAAATAAAACACTGCTTAGTTTTCAATGTATGAATTAAATATATATATATATACACTGATTCTTATTAAAGCTACAAAAGTTATTCAGCCGAGAGCAGTGAGTGATTCTCTCTTCGTCTTGTGTTCATGATCCCAGTTATTGCAAGATATGCATATCACGATATATACATTTGCGATATTTCGATATGTGACCCTGGACCACAAAACCAGTCACATGGGTACATTTTTTGGTAATTTTTTTTCATGGGTCTGAATAAATCAGATTTCCATTGATGTATGGTTTGTTAGGATAGGACAATATTTAGCCGAGATATGACTATTTGAAAATCTGGAATCTGAGGGGGCAAAAAAATCGAAACATTGAGAAAATCGCTTTTAAAGTTGTCCATTTATGTTCGCGATTTTGCTGCATTCACTCACCAAAATAAATGTTTTATTTATTTACGTTAGGAAATTTACTAAATATCTTCAAGGAACATGATCTTTACTTAAAACCCCAATGATTTTTGGCATAAAAGAAAAATCGATAATTTTGACCCATGCAATGTATTGTTGGCTATTGCCACAAATATACCCGTGTGACTTATGACTGGTTTTGTGGTCCAGGGTCACATATTGTTCAGCCCTACTTACCGCCCCCTCTGACTCTTTCCCAAGAAGTGTTTTGAGGCGTAAACAGGCGCGTGAGTTGCATCTGGAGCCCAGTAGAGAAAGAAGGGCCGCTGGGCCGTGGCTTGCCGAGAGATAAAGTCCAAGCCTTCCTGGAGACAGATAAAATCAAAACCAACATCAGGCACATCCCACAGTGCACCTGTCCACGGCTGATCCGCACAAATAAACATTAATCGAGCCAATGAACAGGAAAACTCACCTCCAGATAGATTTGGGTGATGTTGGATTCCCCTGTTTTCACATTAATCTCAAACTCTTCGTAATACCTGCAAAATACACAGATCATCTAAACGTTCTGCTTCCTGCCGATCTAATGAGACCATCACTACAAACTCATTTCAGCACCATATGAGCTCTTGTTCCAAATGACAAGCTTCCTAAACCAAGTGCTGCACCAGGGTGTGATTAGAAAGTGAATTTGAAGAGGTAAATTGCGAGATTGTGTCTCAGAAGACGCGCGTGTTGTGAGAAGGAGCTGAGGCGTGGACTCTCTTATGCTCCGGCTGTTCCAGGTGTCCTAACACACCGCTAACACAACCCGCCATCTCTTGGGTGTACACGTGTGTGTTTGTCTGACCAGGCTCAAACACGCCACGCTGATTAAACCCACGGCTAAGCGCAAAACTAGCCTTATCGCCAGAGCCAATGACCCAGAATGCACAAACAGTATGGGTGTTTTGGAAGGAACAAATAGGCAGACAATGAGATGCTACACTGCAGCTGGTACAAAAAGAGGAAAAATGAAATTCACTTCAACAAACAAATGCATTCATGTGAAGCAATACAACATTTTTACACTTTCTGGAGAAAATGTGAATGATGCTCAGTGTTGCCAGGGTGGCGATTTTCCCACACAATTGAGCTACTTTGAAAAACAAGAGTTTTTTTAGGCTACTTTTATAGGTGCTTGATTTTCAACTCCTTCCCCGCCATTTACGGATTTTCCGGCTTTCCGCATTTTCACTGTTATACGGTAGGGGCCACTATTGCGCATCGTCAGAAAGAGTACTGAATCTCCTGATCAAAACACAGGCGCTTTTTGAGGGCTTTTTACATTAGCCAAAAAAAAAAACCTGTATTGGGGGGTTGTTTGCCCAGGTGAGAAAAAAATAGCACAAAAGTAACACAACTCATTACTTTACATAAAAAGTAACTAAGTAATGCAATTAGTTATGTTTTAGGGAGTAACACAATATTGTAACACATTGCTTTTAAAAGTAACATTCCAAAAAACACCGCCGTTAAGTGACATAATGGCCAATTTGACAAAATATAAAGTAGGGATGCACCGATATGAAAATTTTGGCCAATACCGATAACCGATATATTGGCTGATAGTGATAAACCTATAGCAGATACTGATAACCGATAATTCTTCAGATTTAAAAGCCGATAACCGATATATTGGCTGATGAACCTATAGCAGATACTGATAACCGATAATTCTTATATTTAAAAAGCAGATAACCGATATATTGGCCGATAAACCTATAGCAGATACTGATAACCGATATATTGGCCGATAAACTTATAGCAGATACTGATAACCGATAATTCTTTGTATTTAAAAAGCAGATAACCGATATATTGGCCGATAAACCTATATCAGATACCGATAACTGATAATTTCTTCATATTTGAAGAGCTGATAACCGATATATTGGCCGATAAACCTATATCAGATTCCGATAACCGATAATTCTTCATATTTGAAAAGCTGATAACCGATATATTGGCCGATAAACCTATATCAGATACCGATAACCGATAATTCTTCATATTTGAAAAGCTGATAACCGATATATTGGCCATGATTTACAGCATGTTGCTATGCGGTTTCTGAGGTGTTCTTAGCAAGCATTATGTTTGTACCTCACCTTCCCTTCATTTCAGAGTTGTTGTAGACGGGTATATTGGGACGGAGCCTGTCATTGTAGGGGCCGAAATGGCAGTTCGGGGCACCAAACCATTCGTCAAAGCCACGCTTCAGAGGCAAGTATTGAGTTCTGTGCCCAAGGTGCCTGAGTTAGGAGATAAAGATGAAAAACTCTTATAAAGACGGCAGGTATGTTCAAAAGTAAATGCCTATGCAATAATGGAGTGTGTATACAGTGCAGAAAAAAATTACATTTTATCAATACAATTATTTTCAGGATTCTTTGATGTATAAAGTTCAAAAGAGCAGCATTTATCTGAAACTGAAAGCTTTTGTAACATTATACACAACCGTTTGGAGTCAGTAAGAATTTTTAATTTTACGATAACACAAGAAATTAATATTTAGACACAAAATTAACAGAAAAGACATTTTATAATGTTAAAAAAATGTTCTATTTTTAGATAAATGCTGTTTCCTTTGAACTTCATATTCATCAAAGAATCCTTAAAAAAAAAAATATTGATAATAATCATAAATGTTTCTCGAGCATCAGATCATCATATTAGAGTGATTTCTGAAGGATCCTGTGACACTGAAGACTGGAGTAATGATGCTGAAAATTCAGCTTTGATCACAGGAATAAATTACATTTTACAATATATTCACAAAGAAAACAGTTAATTTAAATTGTAATAATATTTAACAATATTTGTTTATATAGCTATATTTTTTGGATCTAATAAATGCAGCTTTGGTGAGCAGAAGAGACTTCTTTTAAAAACATTAAAAACTTTTGAACGGCATCCACCAATACTGAATTTCTCAGTTAGTTAGTCAGATAGTTTGATTTTTACATAAAACTAGTACAAATTAAATTAAATTATGAAATTCTGCGAAGATAGAAGCCTCTCCTGGAATTGAAAATACATTTTCCTGTTTGAAACGTTTCACTTTCCTTCATCATATTCTATTATATCTCATATCATTATTCTGCAGGGAATCTCACCACTTTCCAACGATCTTGCTGACGTAATCTTTCTTTTTCAGCAGTTCTGGAAGCAGGATCTCGTCCTGAGATATTCCCCCCACAATCTCCTGAGGTGTGTATGCTGTGGGAGAGACAATACATTTAGTTACTTTTTAAAAGTAATGCGTTGCAAACAATATTGCGTTACTTTTTCACACCTGGGCTTGGCTTGCTTGCTTGTTTTATAATGCTAAAGTGCACTTCATATTTTTTTTCCAAGCACATTTTGCCAATTCCAAACCACATTAATCTTAATAACTACTATTATTTAGGTATTTTAATAATTTATAAGTGATATATAATTGTTAAGGAGGGCTGGAAGTGAAAAACGGCGTATTTTATAATGTTATAATACTAAAGTGCACTTTATATTTAACACCAAGTGCAAATAGGCAGAGGCTATTTACACTAACAAAATTACAAAAGAAACCTGTCTGATAACAGGATCTAATCCGCCTTTTTCCAAACTCTTCTCTCTTTTCCCAACGCATTAGCATTAGCATTGCATCCTTCTCATGAGCATTTAATAATTTTTGACTTTTTTTTTTTTTGCCCATTTTACCTGTAAAAGAAAACCTGCTTACCGTAATAATTATGCACACCTGAATATATGCCGTTTTTCCACTTCCAGCCCTCCTTAACAATTATATATCACTTATAAATGATTAAAATACCTAAAATATAGTAGTTATTAAGAATAATGTGGTTTGGAATTGGCAAAATGTGCTCGAAAAAAAACCTATGATCAGAATATCAACTTGCATATTAATTATGCACACACTGTATTTACACTTAATAATAGGCCTCTGACTGTAAGGGGATTTACAGTCAAAGACCCAGAACCAGATATGATGAATGAAGACAATTAAAGAAAAGTTTTACTGAAGATAGTTTGCAGTTTCATCAGCAGAAGTCAGCTTCAATACTCAAGGAGTTCATAGGCCGCCAAAAAAATTAAATAAATAAATATAAATATATACAATTCACTGCTGTACATCAGAGGATGCCGAAATAAAAAGAAATACTGAAGTGGTGTCAGTTAAATGGGAAAACAAAGCATTAAATAAAACATTATTTTATGTAATCAGATTACTTCAAAAAAGTAATCTGATTACATAACTCGCGTTACCCCCGATGGATATAGGAGTGCGCTATAAAGTCGTAAGAGGAGTTACTTTGTTTGTGTGTGTGTGTGTGTCTGTGTGTGTGAAAAAAAAGTAACCCAACAGTAACGTAACGCATTACTTTTCTTAAAAAGTAAATAAGTAATGCAATTCGTTACTTTTTAAGGGAGTAACGCAATATTGTAACGCATTACTTTTCACGGTAACTTTCCCCAACACTGGTTATCAGTATATCTTGCATTACTTATTTGAAAAAGCAACTCAGATATTATGTTGTAAATTTGAAAAGTAATGCGTTACTTTACTAGTCACTTGAAAAAGTAATCTGATTACATAACTCAAGTTACTTGTAATGAGTGACGCACAACACTGCTGAAAACAGGGAAGGAGCAAATGTTTTCGGATCATACCATTCCTAGCATGAGCATTGGTGGTGTAGAAACCATTACGCACGGGAAGTCTCCCAGTGAGCAGAGAAGCCCTGGCTGTGGAATAAAACACACAAATTATGCTTATTACGCAATTATAAACATCAAAGATTAGGGGTGTAACGATTCGATACATATCACGATCCCGAACTCACGATACGATATTATTGCGATACTCAGAGATATGATAAAAGGTTCACAAAAAATGAACTGTTGATTAAAATGCTAAATTTGGTATTATATTGTGTGTGTAAATGAATATTCTTGGACTTGGTGCTGAAACCCAAAGCACAGGACAATAGAGACACCAGAATAACAATATTCATGATTCTGAAGATGAAAACACTGAATTATTTAAGACGAATATACTTGAACTCTTTCTAGATATATTTAAAATAATGTCGGCCACTTTATACTGGTAACATCAGACATTTGGCATTATCAGGACCCACAAATATTCCCCCATTGCATTATTATACATTATATTCAACATTATATAGTAGTTTAATGTAGTTCTGACACTTAAACTCTGAAAACTTGAATTTTTTTCATCCTCCACGATACATATTGTTGCATTTTTGTATTGCGATATATTGTTACACGATAGTATTGTTACACCCCTGTGATACAAAAGACCTGTACTTGTATAAAATGGTGCAACTCCTACATAAACTGTAGAGCAAACTAAACTAACACGTTATTGCACTGCAAACTCTAGCTTGCTCTTTAGGAATAAGTTAAAAAATCTAATCAAAGTTGAATACACTCGTCCACAACACGTGTGCATTTCCTGGAGTTTAAATCGTATAGTATTTAAGACTTGATTTCAAAGAGAGCGAGAGAAAGGAAAGAGGCGATGGACACGAGAGAGCTCACCCTGGATATGAGGATTAGGAAGTTCTCCTCTATCTACTTTGTGATTAAAATACTAATTAAGCTTCTGAAGCAAAAGCTCTCTAATGACGGCAGGTACGGCGAGCGCCTCGGGCTCCTTCATCTCACACATGTGAGATTAACTATTGATTAAGCCTTATTTGCTTAAAAATTAATTAGAATTGAAAAGAGGACCAAAAGAAGATCTGCTCTGCATAGCAAGTCCATTCAAATTTCCCAAATTATGCATAATTAGCATATTTCAGAACTGCCGGTGTATTATCCATATTAGCATAATAAGTTGTGCTCTCACTATCATGCAGCCGCACACGTCTCGTGTTTTAAAACGCATGAAGAATAGTGGATGAATAAAATAATAATAAAAAGCAAAATATTTGCAATTGCATTGTAATACTACAATATCGTTAGCCTCTCGATGTAAATCAATACATTCAATACGTCACCGCGAACAAAATATGTACAAATTTATCAATTCCTTCAGAAAAAAAATATTTTTGAACTGTATAATGAATGTTTCATTTATTATTTGTAGGGCTGTCAAGTGATTAAAGATTTAAAATTGCAATTTAATCACGCATGGCTGAGAGTTCATTTAAAGTCATTTTTGTGTTGAACGAGAAAAGCGTCAAATAGACATTTAAAAAAGTAGATATTTTATTTGAATCAACATTGCACTTCAACTTTTAGGATACGTCGGCCATGATGTTTTTCAGAAGCTCAATCTGAATTGGTATTTATATATATTTACAGACCAAAACAGTTTAATTACTAAAATTCTTCAAAATATCTTGTTTAAGAAAGTCATACAGGTTTGAATTTACATGAGGGTGAGTATATGTAAATAAACAGAACTATCCCAAAATATGAAGAAAAAAAAATGCAGAAGAAGACGCCACTGCCAGAAGGTGGCGGTACATCTCTAAATGAGTAAGTTATTGAGTCAGTTGTGATTGGTCGAACACTTAAAGCACGTGTCGGAAACGAAACGCATATTACCATATTTTAATTTCAGCTTCCTCAGCGCTAAATACACAGTGATGCGAACCGTAACGATTGCGTCAGTTTTACCGTATCAATTCCAGCGAGAGTCTCATCGTTTGGAAAGTTGAATCGCAGCGTCTTCTCGACACGAACAACACGAGCCGAACTCTTCCAGTCGCAGATACACTACAGCGTTTGAGGGCGGAGCTAAGAGACGCTGTTCAGCCAATCAAGAACAGAGGCGGGCATTATGCAAATTAGGTTGGTTTGTAACAGGAAGTGAGACTGGAATTATTGACGACTCGTTTCAGCAGTTCAGAATCAATTCTTTCTTTGGGAGACAATAACTGTATTTGTCGTGCACTTTGATCTTTCAGTACTGTATATTATGGAAACCTGCTTCCGTCACAGAATAAAAAATAAAAAAGGTATTTGCGACTTTTTATCACACAATTCTGAATTTTTTTCGCAGAATTGCGTGAAATAAAGTTTCAATTGCGAGTTATAAAGTCAGAATTGCGTTATATAAAGACCTAATTGCGTGGTATAAAGTCAGAATTGCGTGATATAAAGTCAGAATTGCGTGATATAAAGTCAGAATTGCGTGATATAAAGCCAGAGTTGCGTGGTATAAAGTCAGAATTGCGTGATATAAAGTCAGAATTGCGTGATATAAAGTCAGAATTGCGTGATATAAAGCCAGAGTTGCGTGATATAAAGACCTAATTGCGTGATATAAAGTCAGAATTGCGTTATATAAAGTCAGAATTGCGTGATATAAAGTCAGAATTGCGTGATATAAAGTCAGAGTTGCGTGATATAAAGACCTAATTGCATGATATAAAGTCAGAATTGCGTGATATAAAGTCAGAATTGCGTGATATAAAGTCAGAATTGCGTTATATAAAGTCAGAGTTGCGTGATATAAAGTCAGAGTTGCATGATATAAAGATCTAATTGCGTGATATAAAGTCAGAATTGCGTTATATAAAGTCAGAATTGCGTGATATAAAGTCAGAATTGAGTGATATAAAGTCAGAATTGCATGATATAAAGTCAGAATTGCATGATATAAAGTCAGAATTGCGTTATATAAAGTCAGAGTTGCGTGATAAAGTCAGAATTGCGTGATATAAAGTCAGAGTTGCGTGATAAAGTCAGAATTGCGTTATATAAATTCAGAGTTGCGTGATAAAGTCAGAATTGCGTGATATAAAGTCAGAATTGCGTGATATAAAGTCAGAATTGCGTGATATAAAGTCAGAATTGGGAGATATAAAGTCAGAATTGCGTGATATAAAGCCAGAGTTGCGTGGTATAAAGTCAGAATTGCGTGATATAAAGTCAGAATTGCGTGATATAAAGCCAGAGTTGCGTGATATAAAGACCTAATTGCGTGATATAAAGTCAGAATTGCGTTATATAAAGTCAGAGTTGCGTGATATAAAGTCAGAGTTGCGTGATATAAAGTCAGAATTGCGTGATATAAAGTCAGAATTGCGTGATATAAAGTCAGAATTGCGTGATATAAAGCCAGAGTTGCGTGATATAAAGACCTAATTGCGTGATATAAAGTCAGAATTGCGTTATATAAAGTCAGAATTGCGTGATATAAAGTCAGAATTGCGTGATATAAAGTCAGAGTTGCGTGATATAAAGACCTAATTGCATGATATAAAGTCAGAATTGCGTGATATAAAGTCAGAATTGCGTGATATAAAGTCAGAATTGCGTTATATAAAGTCAGAGTTGCGTGATATAAAGTCAGAGTTGAATGATATAAAGATCTAATTGCGTGATATAAAGTCAGAATTGCGTGATATAAAGTCAGAATTGAGTGATATAAAGTCAGAATTGCATGATATAAAGTCAGAATTGCATGATATAAAGTCAGAATTGCGTTATATAAAGTCAGAGTTGCGTGATAAAGTCAGAATTGCGTGATATAAAGTCAGAGTTGCGTGATAAAGTCAGAATTGCGTTATATAAATTCAGAGTTGCGTGATAAAGTCAGAATTGCGGGATATAAAGTCAGAATTGCGTGATATAAAGTCAGAATTGCGTGATATAAAGTCAGAATTGGGAGATATAAAGTCAGAATTGCGTGATATAAAGTCAGAGTTGAGTGATATAGAGTCAGAATTGCGTGATATTAAGTCAGAATTGCGTGATATAAAGTCAGAGTTGCATGATATAAAGTCAGAATTGCGTGATATAAAGTCAGAATTGTGTGATATAAAGTCAGAGTTGCGTGATATAAAGTCAGAATTGCGTGATATAAAGTCAGAATTGCGTTATATAAAGTCAGAGTTGCGTGATTTAAAGTCAGAATTGCGTGATTTAAAGTCAGAATTGCGTGATATAAAGTCAGAGTTGCGTGATATAAAGTCAGAATTGCGTGATATAAAGTCAGAATTGCGTGATATAAATACCTAATTGCGTGATATAAAGACCTAATTGCGTGATATAAAGTCAGAATTGCGTGATATAAAGTCAGAATTGCGTGATATAAAGACCTAATTGCGTGATATAAAGTCAGAATTGCGTGATATAAAGTCAGAATTGCGTGATATAAAGTCAGAGTTGTGTGATATAGTCAGAATTGCGTGATATAAAGTCAGAATTGCGTGATATAAAGTCAGAATTGCGTGATATAAAGTCAGAGTTGCGTGATATAAAGTCAGAATTGCGTGATATAAAGTCAGAATTGCGTTATATAAAGTCAGAGTTGAGTAATATAGAGTCAGAATTGCGTGATATAAAGTCAGAATTGCGTGATATAAAGTCAGAGTTGCATGATATAAAGTCAGAATTGCGTGATATAAAGTCAGAATTGTGTGATATAAAGTCAGAGTTGCGTGATATAAAGTCAGAATTGCGTTATATAAAGTCAGAGTTGAGTGATATAGAGTCAGAATTGCGTGATTTAAAGTCAGAATTGCGTGATATAAAGTCAGAGTTGCGTGATATAAAGTCAGAATTGCGTGATATAAAGTCAGAATTGCGTGATATAAATACCTAATTGCGTGATATAAAGACCTAATTGCGTGATATAAAGTCAGAATTGCGTGATATAAAGACCTAATTGCGTGATATAAAGTCAGAATTGCGTGATATAAAGTCAGAATTGCGTGATATAAAGTCAGAATTGCGTGATATAAAGTCAGAATTGCGTGATATAAAGTCAGAAATGCAAGTTTTTTTCTCACAATTCTGCAAGACTCGCAAAACTCACAATTGTGAGATAACGTCGTAATTATCTTTTAAAATGTATTATTTTGTGGTGGAAACAAGCTTCCATCGTATATAACCGGAGCTACAGCTCTTAAATTAAAGAACTAACATGACTTTATTGTTGACTTTATTGTTGACTTGGAATGGCAAAATAAACACGTACATTTATTTCCAAGATAATAACCTGATATAAATGAATACGCGACACAGTAAAGTGTTTACCGTAGTCAGCGTACAGTACTCTACAGTAGGCCTATATAGTATTTTATTATCATTCTATGTATTCCAAGCTTTGGCATTATTGTATTATTTACAGTCATGGCATTAAAGCAGTGTTGAGTTGGACTGAATACGAGCACGTACAGGGGGAACACAGCGGGTTTGCAGCGTAGAAGTTCGGGAACAGCATTCCCTGAGCGGCCATCAGATCCAAGCTCGGGGTTTCCCTGGACGGCTCCCCGAACACCCCCAAATCACCCCATCCCATCTGCACACACACACACACACACACACAGCATTGAGCATCAGCATACAATTCATGGTACATAAATATATATGCCTTACGTCACCCTTACGTAAATTCAAACCTGTATGACTCTCTTAAACAAGATATTTTGGAGAATGTTAGTAATTAAACTGTTTTGGTCTGTAAATATATATAAATACCAATTCAGATTGAGCTTCTGAAAAACATCATGGCCGACGTATCCTAAAAGTTGAAGTGCAATGTTGATTCAAATAAATATCTACTTTTTTAAATGTCTATTTGACGCTTTTCTCGTTCAACACAAAAATGACTTTAAATGAACTCTCAGCCATGCGTGTTTAAATTGCAATTTTAAATCTTTAATCACTTGACAGCCCTACAAATAATATATGAAGCATTCATTCTACAGTTCAAAAATCAATTGAAAATTTTTTACATATTTTGTTCGCGGTGACATATTGAATGAATTGATTTACATTGAGAGGCTACCGATATGTAATTAGTATTACAATGCAGTTGCAAATATTTTACTGTTTATTATTATTTTTTTCATCCACTATTCTTCATGCGTTTTAAAACACGAGACGTGTGCGGCTGCATGATATATAGAAATCGCTGGTGTTTCTGACGTCACAAACGACCTTGTAACCAATCAGATCAACGTGTGATCGTCAACCAGTGGATCTCTGAGCTGAGTGAGTGAGTGGAGGCGGGGCTCATTTGCATATTCATAGAACCGCGAATACTAAATGAGGCAAGGGTGTCGAGTTACATTCAAGATATTTTAAAGCAAGAACATTTTTTTTTTCAAGGAAATTTTGGTGATTAAAGATGAGTTTTACAAAAAAAAGGAAAAACAGCTACAGGTTTTATTTTAATATGCAAAAATAATGCAGGGGGGAAAACAAAAAAGCTCACAGGAAAAACTAAACATAATCAGTTATTAATATTTCATTGGTTCTCTCTGTTTTTGCATCATGTGTTCATAATTTCTTTGTATGACAGCCTGGGCAAAAATATTTGATACATATACAAATATTCAGTATAAATCAGCATGATGATGATAATGTTTGGATCATAAAATTAACTGCTTATGCCTAATGTATAATAAATATTTTGATGTGTGATTGCACTTCTCCATGTGACATCACTTAGTGAATGAAAATACATTAAATAACAGATTAAATTCATCATATAATATATTTGGAATATTGTGATCAACACTGCATATTGCGAGATACATTGTAATATATACAAAAAAATATTTATACACAATATATTATACGTGTTCACACACTGAATCTGCAGCGGTCACGTGGGACAGTTTGGGAAATTCCCAGTTTACAAGTTGTAATTACGAGTGAACGCACATAAAACCAAATAAACATCGAAACAACTCAAAACTATTTCACAGATCAAATATATGTTGCACAAATACACATGTGTTGCTCGTATACACTATATAAACACAAACGATGTAGGTTTCAGTGTGATTCTGAGTTGGTCAGTCAAACCTCTAATGAAAGACCCATAAAGGACTTACATCATCCATAAGCATGATGATGATATTTGGATCATGCTGGTTTCCTGAAGTCTGACACACACATGCTGTCCATAACACACAGATGACAGCCTGAAGACACATTGTAACTTTCCTTCAAATCTTAAAACACATGCTAGTTTTCAGGAAGCGGAACTTTTAAGCGTCCGAGACATTCTACACACACTGCAAAGTGTGAAACTGCAGCGAGTCATGTGACTTTTGCGTGTCACGTGACCGGAGTCTGTCGCGTCATCATCATGGCGGTGTGTATAGCAGTCATCGCGAAGGAGGTAAATAAAAAACATTTGATCTTTTTAAGAGACATCAAAGCATGTATTGGTAATGTTTGAATACATTTGACTCGCTAAATTAATCGGATTTGATTAATTATTGCTAAGAGTTGCTGATATATGTCGCTATCGATGCTGCTTAGTTAACTTACATTCATATGCGTTCAAATATATTTACGTGTAAGTTATGTTTTGTTTAAACATGAACCCCATTGAAATGGCAGTACAGTGTAGGCTTAAAATGCAATAAACCGAGTTTGTTGACAACCCTGCATTGTTTGTTTCGTGTGAGACTGGAGTGTGTTTGTAAGTCAGAGTGTTTGCATTTCAAACTTTAATATTACCGCATTAAATACATAAAGTAGTGTTACTTTACTAGTTACTTGAGTAATCTGTATTGCATAAAAAAAGAATCTGATAACATAACGAAAGTTACAGTGTTAAATCATGCACAATAATGTCTAATTGCTTGCTGAAATGGTTCCCTGTAATAGCAAACCTGTCTCTAGCAAGGACATTGGTTAATAAAGAATGCATAAATAACATGTTACATTACATGAAAAAGTTATCTAATTACGTAACTAAAGTAACAATGTTAAATAATGCACAATTTCGAATTACATGCTGAAATGGTTGTGTTCCCTTGCCTCTAAGCAAAGACAACGGTTAATAAAGTGAGATTAAATACATAAAGTAGTGTTACTTGAGTAATCTGTATTGCATAAAAAAAGAATCTGATAACAAAACTAAAGTTAGTGTTAAATCATGCACAATAATTTCTAATTGTTTGCTGAAATGGTTGTTCCCTGTAATAGCAAACCTGTCTCTAACGTTGCGTTGATCTCTTTTTATTTATTTTATTCTTGCTTTTATGTATGTTTTAATCTATTCTGGACCGATAAGAACTTTTTATTTTTTATTTAATTGAGTCATTTCCGAATTTTTACTGTGTTAAGTTTGAATGATGTGTGATAAGTGTTCTCTTTGTTTTTCCGTGTGTGTGTGTGTATGAGGACTCCACTGCAAACTAAATCTACCTTCGGGACGGGTACAAATAAAGTAACTTGAACTTGATCTCTGCAGAACTATCCGCTGTACATCCGGAGTGTCCCTACGCAGGGAGAGCTCAAGTTCCACTACACAGTGCACACTTCGCTGGACGTGGTGGAGGAGAAGATCTCCAGTGTGGGCAAAGCCTTGGCCGACCAGCGCGAGCTCTACCTCGGGCTCCTGTACCCAACCGAGGACTACAAGGTGTATCCTTAAAGGAAGCGGACGTTGGGATCGTCTTTTCTTCCTTGTTGTGATGCAGTATTGGCAAAAGTTACTTTTAGAAGTAATGTGTTAATGCCTAAAAAAGTAACTAATTACGGTACTTGGTTACTTTTTATAGAAAGTAATGTGTAACGTTGCGTTATTTTCTGCTGTTCTGGATCGCAGGTGAAGAAAGTTCAACTTAATTGAAACAATATATATATATGTAAGGTAATTTTTGCTTTTTAGTATGATTGCATTGGATAATTTAAGGTCAGCAGCAAAGACATTGCTTAATAAAGTGAGATTAAATACATAAAGTCATGCATCACTTTACTACGGTAGTTGAAGAATTGATTTTGCTTTCATTGCAATTAACAGTGATCGACGGATTATATCAGCGTATTATATTTTTAAGATTATCGCAATGAGTAAAAATTGTGCCGGTGTTCTGACGATTTGTGCTGCCTTGTCGAAAAATGCTACCGTAACGCGAATCGATCACAGAATGTCGATTAATATTATATGAAATAAAATTATAATACAATTCTAAGTTATGAGTAGCTACTGTATACTGTAGACTACTGTTTTTATTTTTAAAACGGTGTGAAAATGAAAAATTATCATCAAATATTCATCTTTGACTTGTCAAAGCACACTTTTCCCTAGTAACTGAAACTTTCAGTTATTATTGTTCAGCTGGCTGACCGTACACATATTCATATGCTAGTTAGCATTTTTAAAGGGAAATTACAATATAACACATGAAAATGTACCTTTTGTTAAAAAAAACTGTGCGTCTGCACATGCGCATAACCATTAAGTAGCAAATCTCGATGGGTAGCATGAATTGTCAGAACACCGGTATTCTATATCTACTGACAGCTTATGACTTGCTATCATTAAATTATATAATTTTATACACACGCACAGTTGACCATGAATCCTTAAAGGGATAGTTCCCCCAAAAATAAAAAAATTTCTAAACGGTATGACTTTCTTCTGTGGAAGATAAATGTGTCCATACAATGAAAGTCATTGATCACCCAAGCTTTTTAGTTAACATTATCCAAAATATGTATATCTATGAAGAAATGCATACACATTTGGAACAACATGATGCAAATTTTCATTTTTGTGTGAACTGTCCCTTTAAGACGAGCTGCTTTCTAATGCACGTTCACGTTCATCCCAACATTATCTTAACCAGAATGACAGATATGGCTACGTGACAAACTCCAAGGTGAAGTTTGTGATTGTTGTCGATTCTTCCAACGCATCTCTGAGAGACAACGAAATTAGAAGTGTGAGTTACTGTGTAAATTTTGCACAAAAAAAAAAAGATATCAGTGTCAAGATATCAAAGTGTCAATCACACTTTTTCTTTTTTTCCCTCAGATGTTCAGAAAGTTGCACAACTCCTTCACTGATGTAATGTGTAACCCATTCTACAATCCCGGTGATCCCATTCAATCAAAGTAAGTTCCTTTGGTGAATACATTGAGTATTTCTTGATACTGATACACTAATATAATATTGGTCTCTCTCCTCAGGGCTTTTGACGGTATAGTTTCAGCTATGATGGTGCAGACGTGCTGATCTCCTCTCTTTACAACTGTATATATATACATATTTACATCAGTGTCCATTGGGTGTTGTTTGTTTGGTGAAAATAAATAAAGAATTTGTGTTTAATAAAATGACTCGTGATGATGTTGTTTTTATTTACAGTGATTTTGCTCAAGTCTAAAGCACTGAAAAAGCAAAAATAGAAAAAGTACTGAAATTCACAAGGCATTTCGGCCTCTCACAGGCATGGTATTTTAAAGAAATCGTATAAAATGTAAATAAAATAGTAACCACTCAACATGAAATCAAGTCTTCGCTTTCTGTAGTGTCATACAAGATACACACACACACAAAATAATCATAATAATACTAAACTGAACTCCCTTCATGCAGCATGTACTTCAATTAGCACCAAGAAGTGCTTTGAAGACAACAGAAAAATCAAAAATGAATATCAAAAAGAATCAACCCATGGACGAGCTCTTCCATTTTCCCTAAAACAAAAAGTACAATTTTTATAACATCATTAAAGGAAGCCAAACGATGGATTTACAGAGAAATGCCACACTTCCAAGAAAGCACAATATGATTGTTAACCACTAAACCACAAATCTGAAAGGATTATGGACATTTTTCAGTATGTGGATATTTTAATATCTGGTAATTCCATTATGGTTCGAGAATAGAGTGCAAGGCCACGGACCACTGTGGAAATCTGAGATATTTAAAGGTCCATGTCATGTGAGGTACGGTTATGTGTTGGCTGAACTGACCTAATGACGTGGCAGCCTCTGAACGGGTAAAACCTGGAGGCCCGCGACCCCCGTCCTCGGGACCAGCCTCCACGCAAGTACGTATCTGTAGTCCTGAAACCGGGAATGTTTGTTCTTTTTGGCAATACCTATAGTGCACAGAGGTTGAAATTAAAAAGGTTTTCTGCCACAGATTTGCATTTCATAAACAAAAACAGATTCATTACAAGGAAACCAACACTTGTAGACACTATGGCTTCATTCTGCATTCAATTCTGATTTTCACCTTTTTTCTTTGATTGTTTACATCATTAAAATGAGGCCCATATTGGACAGGCAATTGTAAACTTGACCACATGCATACAACAGCCTACCAGAACATGTCTATTGGATTTTTTTTATATATATAATATATACACATACACACACAGGTGAAACTCGAAAAATTTGAATATCGTGCAAAAGTTCATTTATTTCAGTAATTCAACTTAAAAGGTGGAACTAATATATTATATAGACTCATTACATGCAAAGTGAGATATTTCAAGCCTTTATTTGTTATAATTTTGATGATTATGGCTTATAGCTATGAAAACCTTTTCACAATATTCTAATTTTGAATTTGGGGTTTTCATAAGCTGTAAGCCATAATCATCAAAAATACAACAAATAAAGGCTTGAAATATCTCACTTTGCATGTAATGAGTCTATATAATATATTAGTTTCACCTTTTAAGTTGAATTACTGAAATAAATGAACTTTTGCACAATATTCAGATTTTTCGAGTTTCACCTGTGTATATATATAGATATAGCTGCAGGCAGCAAATAAAGGGCAAAGAAACCTAGAAATAGGCAAAAAGAGGAGCTAAGCTTGGCAGGGAGCATCAGAACAACTGCAACAATGAGTAATTAAAGACATTTTAAGGTTATTTTAGTCAAAAGGGCTGAAATATCATAAGCAATTAAATCATATTACTAGTAATTCTATTTATCACTTGACCAATAGGTGGCGCTGTGACCAAATTTAATTTTTGTTGTCAGTGTTTGTCTATTGTCAAGAAATCTGTAACGTTTTGCCGGCATGGTCTTAAGAGGATTATTTTTTAATTTTAAATTAAATTTGGTGAAAATTGGACAAACGGTCAAAGAGTTTGAAAAAGTAGGTAAAAAAAAAAACGTCGGATAGAAAATTCGTCCGAGTCCGACTATGGCAAAATTGGTTTCTATGTTCTCAGCATGACCCTAGGAATCCATCAAGACCAGTTTCATTACAATAGGCAAATTACAATTCATTATAAGGCATGGTACTGGTGAACCTTAGAGTTTTGTAACAATAAGCCAATGCGTTCGTGAAATCTAGCATTTTTAGACAATATTCAAAATGGCTGACGGCCAAAGGAGCAATATAGGAAAATTAGGTATCGTTCGACTCTGCATGCTACACCGAATCTAAACAGACCAGTTTATATTTTAAAAAAAAAGTTCATTAGTTATAAAGCAAAAATAGCAATATTTCACACCCCCTGGCCACTAGGTGGCACTGTGCCAAAACAGTGCAGGTATCCTCAGCTAATGGTTGTCATAACACACATCAAGTTTGGTCAGAATACGCTCTTCGTGCATTTTTCAAGAAGTCAGAAGATGATCTGGTTGAATTTTCAACCAAGGCAAGAAACCAAAAGGGGAAAAAATATTTATTTTCAGTTCAAAAGTTATTAGCATAACCATGAGTGCAACTTTGGACAGTTGGTGGCGCTAGAGAGGTAGAGGCTCCAAATTGGCTGTGGTTAATCTTCAGACTGTGCTTTATATGCGTGCCAAATTTCACAACTTTTCACCATACGGTTCTACAGGTTTCCATAGGTTAAAGAGCGGAAGAATAAGACTAATGGATACAATGGGTGCTAATAAAGACAAAATATTAGATAAAAAAAATAATTGTGATGCGATTCCCATCATGTAATGCATTTCCATCGCACCTTAATGACACGGCCTCTGAATAGGGTTTCATCTAAAGTCATGGCGGTCCTCACAGACTCCCTCTCTGAGAACTCGATGTAGGCGAAACTACAGGGAAAACACTCTCATAAATCATGCTTGATGTGAAAATATCATTTGTTTTTGCAGCCGGAAGGATACATACCCTTTTGGATGTCCTGTGAATCTATTATACGGGATTGTGACTCGGTTTACGTGGCCACAGCCATTAAAGTACATCTCCAATTCGTCAGCGGTTGCTCCATAATCCACCTGGAAGTCAGACAATACACCATAAACACACACACTGCAAACAATATGAAAAATAACATTCAAATATTACTAGATCTAAGCGGCTTACATTTCCCACATAGATAGATCTCCTATCAGAATCTATTCTCTCTTCATGCGTCATATTGAAGAACAATCCTGAGGAGGGCAAGATTATAAAAGTTAATTAGAATCATAAAATATTAACGTTGTATTTTAAATAATGACCTTCATTTAAGGTGAAACATGAAAGGGACGTCCATGGCTAGTGCTATATTTAGGCCACATCATTGAGTAGGGTTTAAAAGACAAAAGTCCACTTGTACAAACACACTGGATATCCATGTTGGGTTAAAACACTAGTTGCTGAAAGAAACACTGAATATTTGTTGTTCTAATATTCTCAAATTTCTTGTAACAGATATTTGGGTAAAATGTTTAAGCATTAAAACATGCAAACTCAGAGGAAGGGATTCAACTATTTTGAAAATCGCAATGAACAACAATTTGCGTATTTAGAAACATACATTTACTGAAGAAACACAAACATGCCAATAACTTATGGAAGATTGTTTCCGCCACAGAATAAAACCTTTTAAAAGATAATTGTGACTTTCTCACAATTGCGATAACATCTCGCAATTCTGTCTTTATTTCTAAGAATTGCAAGTCAGAATTGCGAGATTATAACACGCAATTGAGAAAAAAAAGTCAGTCTTTATTTCCTTACAATTCGACTTCATAACTCGCAATTGGGACTTTGTGTCACAATTCTGACTTTATTTTACGCAATTCTGAGATAAAGTCAGAATTGAGAGATAAAAAGTTGCAATTTACTTTTTTTATTCTGTGGCGGAAACAACTCTGACTTTATATCACGCAATTCTGACTTTATATCACGCAATTCTGACTTTATATCACGCAATTCTGACTTTATATCACGCAATTCTGACTTTATATCACGCAATTCTGACTTTATATCACGCAATTCTGACTTTATATCACGCAATTCTGACTTTATATCACGCAATTCTGACTTTATATCACGCAATTCTGACTTTATATCTCGCAATACTGACTTTATAACACGCAATTCTGACTTTATAACTCGCAATTCTGACTTTATATCACGCAATTCTGACTTTATATCACGCAATTCTGACTTTATATCTGGCAATTCTGACTTTATATCTCGCAATTCTGACTTTATATCTCGCAATTCTGACTTTATTTCACGCAATTCTGACTTTATATCTCGCAATTCTGACTTTATTTCACGCAACTCTGACTTTTTAAACTTGCAATTGCGACTTTTTCTCACAACTGCGTGATATCAGATAAGTCAGGATTGTGAGATAAAAAGTTGCAATTACCTTTTTTATTCTGCGGCGGAAACAAGCTTCCATAATAATTAAAGCGCGTTTATTTAAAATTGCGGCTGGTGGGAGTGATGGGAAAATGTGGGTCCCATGGCCAAACCAGTGTCTAAATTTCCTGGACTTCCCAAAGTACGGTCCAGGAACTCTGTAAGTGTGTCTTTGGCGTATTGAATTAGGGTTCACATGTGTCACAGAGAGCAGAGATGTCCTTAGATAAGACCACAGGCCTCCTGGGACACGCCTGATTGAGCGGTGATGGGCTCAGGTGTGTGCCAGCTGGAGCTCACCTGCCTGAGGACTGTAGGGGAACGCTCGCTCTACCTCACACTGCATGTCAGACTCGTCCATCTCCAGCTCACGAGCTTCAATCGCATCCAGATCCTGAAGGAACAGCGTTGTACACACAAACAGAGCTCCTTATGTGCACAGAAAACATGTTCATGGGTAGATGACATCTCTTGCAGGATCACATTCTTGGATGATTTTTTTTCTATGACCTCAAAATAAATTGTCTACATGATATTTTGTGGTTTAAAATTATTCTATATACAGCAGGACTATATTTATATGGAAGCTTATATATATATATATATATATATATATACGGTAAACATTTTAAAATATAATTGTGACTTTCTCACAATAGTAAGTTTACATCTTGCAATTCTGACTTTTTTCTCACAGTTGCGAGTTTATATCTCACAATTATGTGATTATATAATCTCACAATTATGACTATATAAATTGCAATTC